ACCATTCTAGTCCAAAGTCAAGGGGCCATATCCCATGATGGCCTTCTCACTGGCAGAGTCCAGAGGCAGCACAAGGCATTATGTGGATATGGACAGGGAATACTGGAGTAACCTAGTCAAACCAGCTTTTATAGAAGATCCATTCTTGGGATAACCCATTAACCCATTAATCATATGAATGGCTTGATCCATTCATGGATGCAGAGCTCTAATCTTAAAGGTCCCAACTTTTAATTAATTTATTTATTTTTAGTACTGGGTATTGAACCAAAGGGCACTTTACCACTGAGCCACATCTCCAGCCTTTTTAAAAATATTTTGAGACAGGATCTCACTAAGTTACCTAGAGCCTCACTAAGATGCTGATGCTGGCTTTGAACTTGCTATTTTCCTACCTCAGCCTTCCAAGCCATGGGGAAGGTCTCAAGTCTTAATATCTCATAAGGGGCTTTAAATTTCAACATAAATTCTGGAGGGGACAAACCATATTCAACTTTAGCAGATAGTAAGTGTTCTGAAGATAAACACAACAGCTATTCTTTTATTTTAAATATTTATTTTTTTAGTTGTAGTTGGATACAATACCTTTATTTATTTTTACGTGGTGCTGAGGATCGAACCCAGGGCCTCGCATGTGCTAGGCGGGCACACTACCGCTGAGCCCCAGCCCCAGCCCACAATAGCTACTCTTAACAGTGATAAACTATGTGGGAGAAGGGTAACTACTTTATATTTAGTAGTCAGAGAAGGTTGTTCTGAGAAAATGACATATAAAATGAGACCTATGGGGCTGGGGATGTGGCTCAAGCGGTAGCACGCTCGCCTGGCATGCGTGCGGCCCGGGTTCGATCCTCAGCACCACATACAAACAAAGATGTAGTGTCTGCCGAGAACTAAAATAAATAAATAAATAAATATTTTTTAAAAAAATAAATAAATAAAATGAGACCTAAATGACTACAAAAGTCTGAAGAAGCTGGGTGCAGTGATGGACACCAGTAATCAGAAGGCTGAAGCAGGAGGAATGCAAATTCAAGACCAGCCTCAGCAATTTAGTGAGGCTCAAAATAAAAAATAAAAAAGGGCTAGGCATATGGCAGAGTAATTAAGGACTTCTGGGTTCAATCACCATGCCCCCCCAAAAAATAATTGATGAAAAGGCAATCCAGAGTATATAGTTAAAGTCCTTCATTTAGAAGTAAGCTTTGTGTATATAAAAAAGAAAGAAGCCCAATGTAAATGAAATGCAGTGAGTGAAGGATAGGGTGGTTAGACATCATGGGAACAATGAAGAGTTTTTAAGACCATTTAATTGCTCAGGCTACTCTAATGGAGAACAGGGGTACAAAAGTGACATCAGGGAAACTAGGAGGCAATTGCAAGGTTTTAGGCATGGTGGTGGCTTGGAATAGAATGGTAGCAGGGCAAAAATAAATGGATGAATAAGATACAAAGAGAACCTGAGGACTTGTAGATTGACTATGGAAAATGTAGGCACTAGTTTATTAAATAATCCCATTGACTCACTCAATGGTTTCCTCTCTGATAATCAGGATATCAAATCCATTGATCACTGACTCTTCTGACACATGTCCTGATGAAGTGGTGGGTCTAGATGGCCTTATGTGTACCAGTTGACTCTACTACCCCTAGCCAAGAGAAGATATGTAACCCATTATAATTTCTCTCTCTGGGAATCAGAATTAGAACTCTTAGAAACTAAGTCAGTGTTGAGGAAAGGAGCCGAAAGTTCAAGTAGTTTCAGGAAGAGGAGCCTCCATTTTAAAATGGCAATGATTTGCTATAAGTAAGAAGACAAGTAATCCAAGGCATCTATCTAGTCTTCTATACAAAGAAGAATAAAGCAGATATCCAAAGAGAAAGACAAGACACTGTTCCATCCTGGTAAAAAGCCTCATGAGCACTTTTTCAAGTTCGCTTCTCAAAATAAGGGTGTTTTTACTTGCTGCTAATAGTTAAAACAAGGATAGCCCCAATTTACATAGGCTGCGTTCACACTTGTTCCTTTCTTTCTTTTTTTTTTTTTTCCCCCTCAGTACTGGAGATTGAACCCAGAGGTGCTTTACCATGGAGCTACAATTCCAGTCCTTTAGAGACAGGATCTCACTAAATTGCCCAAGATTGACCTTGAATTTACCATCCTCCTGCCTCAGCCTCCTGAGTAGCTGGGATTATAGGTATGTGCTATGGTGCCTGGCCTCATTTTCTAACTCTTTAGAAATAGTAGATAACTTATAATATTGATGATAATGCAAAATGTTTCCCATCCATAACAATAAAAATGATTCCTATTTTGGGTGATGCAAATGGATTTTGTCCAGTAGCAAACAGACATTTCTAAAAATCAAGTCCTTGTTTGAACTGGTTTTAATATCTTACTAGTTCCCTCATTAATTAGTGAGTTTAAAATGTCTTTGAAATGTGTTCATTTTATATTTTTGTAAAATTTATGATTTTATCTTTTTGAAAATTATCCTTTAACACAAATAACAAGACCTAACCCATACTAGCTACAGCCAAAAAAAAATGAGACTATCTGGATGGATGGAAGAATAATATGTCATTGTAAGGACTTAGACTCTTCACTTTTACCCTTTGGCCTGCAAATGTTTGATGGGTAGCTAAAAGCAGAATTAAAGACTTAGCATCCCCACCTCCAGCTTGTGTCCATCTTCTCTGTTCTGAGTCACCTTGTATTTCACAATAAGGTCTGATCCAAAAAACATCTTGTGATGAGTTCAAGACCCCAGGCAACAGCAACTTTTTTTCCCTGTTGGTATTAGGGATCGAAACCAGGGAAGCTTTACCACTGCCCTATTCTAAGCCCTTTTTATTTTTTAATTTTAATACAAGGTCTCACTAAGTTGCTTAGGGCCTTGCTAAATTGCTGAGGCTGGCCTTGAACTTATGATCCTCCAGCCTCAACCTCCTGAATCACTGGGATTACAAGTGTATGCCCACTACACAAGAGCAACTTTCTTACTAGAGTCAAGGCCCTCCCTAAAGAATCTTGAGATAATGATGGACTGACCACATTGTATCAAGATCACCTACTCTGGCATCTGTGAAAGCTTCCAGCTATGTAAAACTCTAACCCTTGCCCTCATTCCCCTTTCTATAAAACCTCAAAGTCACTGTCAGTCCCTCCAAGACAGAGCTAAGGATATGGGTTGCCTTTTATTCTCAGTGTAGCTATACTGATTCAAGTTCTTTTCATGCTTTTCACCATTACCAAAGTTTGTTTTGTGGGGCAAGTGGCCAAACCTGATTTGATGGATCCTCAGAGTCAGGCCTCTAGCCTAGAGACTCCAGCAACATGTCTCTAGACAGAAATGAAATAAAAACAAAAGACCTCCCCACCCAATAAATAAATAACAAAAAAAGAGTGATGCACCATCCAGGGCAGGTATCAAGCTGAACATCAGCCAGCTTCTGGATAGCCCCAAGAACCTAGGAAGTAGTCTCTTTTTGTCTAGATCTGGCTCTCCTCTGTACAACAGATGGTGTTCCTTAGCAGACTGGTTTTCTGGTTATTCAGGCCATTTAGTAGAAGATGGATATCCACAGCCCTTTATATTCCACCAAGTCTAACCATAAGTAGGGGTATAGCTCTCTTTCTCCCAATTTCAAATTCTCAGGGAAGGGATTCTAATTGGCTTAGTTTAATTCCCTACCTGGGGTCATTTAATAGAGGGATCACACTGTGCAAACATGTGGCTTATCTCTTCCAATCCCCTCCCCACTTCATCCTCATGTAAGTCTTCAGAACTCAATTTTATCTTGCCATCAGCATAAAGCCCTTCTGTGTCTCTCCACTATTTGCAGGAGAGTTCCAAATGTTTACTATGTCACAGGAGGCACTTCATCTTGAAATCCTGACCATCTCTTCGGGGCACTCTCCACTCTTTCCCACACCTTAGTCCTATAGTTATTTTGCCCCTTGTCCTTTCTGCACATGCAGATTCCCCCACAACCTTTTACCTCCTACTCATTCTTCAAAACTCAGTTCCCAACACACACACAAATAAATAAACAGAAAACTCAGTTACCACCCCTTTGTGAACCCGAGGATGCATTACATACTTGTGACACTTATTAGCTTCCTTGACTGTGATCAGACAAGGCTGGAAGTCCTAGAGCATGGGGTCTCAGATGCTAGAGCGTGGAACCTAGAATGGCTTTTTTTAAAAAAATTGAAATTATCGGATTTTATTTAGCATGCCAATACAATTTAATCTGGTAATAAGAATGGCTTCTGGGCTGGGTTTGTGGCTCAGTGGTAGAGTGCTTGCCTAGCATGCATGAGGCACTGGGTTCCATCCTTAGCACCACATAAATGTAAAATAAAAATACTGTGTCCACTAAAACTAAAAAAATAAATATTAAAAAAAATAAGAATGGCTTCTTCTTAGTGGACTTCCAGTAACTATCTGCTGAATGACCCCCGCCCCCAACCTCTTCTTGCTAAAAGTAGCAGGAGACACAGGCATCCTGCCCTGAGGAGAGGCACAGGTTTCAGATTTTCGGGGACTTCTTAATCCTGGATAGGTATGGGTTACTTTTAAAAATATTAAAGCCTGCCTGGCGCCCTAGCACACGTCTGTACACGGCAGGCTGAAGCAGGAGAACCCCAAGCTTCAGCTCATCTTGGCAACTTATCAAGACCCTGTCTCAAAAGTAAAAAGGACTGGGGATGTGGCTCAGTGGTAAAGCGCCCCTGGATTCGATCCCCAATACTCCGCCCCCCCGCCCCCCACCATCACCAAATTAAAGCCTGGGCAACACCCAGCCCCCATCTTACCCTGCCACAGTGACTAAGTCAATTGGTCTCTGGTGAGGTCAGGCCTTGTTTTTGTTTTGTTTTTTGTCTTTGTTTTGTCTTTACACTTCCTCACGAACTTACAACGCGAGCCAGGATTGAATATCGTTGCTTTAGGCGAGGGTGGGAGCCCACACAAACCTGCCCTCCAAACCACCAGGCCTCCGCCCTACACTCCCGCGGGTTCCAGCCCCTGGCAACAAACAGCAGTACCACGCCGGACACCGCCCGCCGGGGCGGGGCGAGGGCCTCAGGAGGCGGGGCCACGGCTGCAGCTTCGCCCCTCCCCTCGCGGGAAAGCACGGCGCGTGACTCTGGCGCGCCCAACAAGGCGCGAGCAGGGGAGCTGGGCGAACACCTCGGGCCCAGCGGACCGAACCAAAGCGCGGTCCAGAAGGGCTGCACTAGGGCAACCCAGATCGGACCATCGACACCACGTCTGCAGGGGGGACCGGGCGTTTCCAACCCGTCTGGAGAGGAGGGGAACGCCGGCGTGCACCGCCTGCAACGCGACCCCTGGAGGGCGCGAGACGCTGCCGCTGCAGCCGCCGCCAGCGCGGAAGGACAAGGCTGAAGCGAGAAGCGAGGTAGGAGCGACTCTCCTGAGGCTGGCGGGATCCTGGAGACCCACTGCCCCCAAGTTTCAAGTGGCCCCTTGGACCAGGCCCTCTGCCGGCCCACCCATTCTGTCCTCAGCGCCCCCGGCCTGCCCCTTAGCCCTTCCCTCCCAGCCCCACCCTCCCGGCCGTCTCCAGCCCTCTGGGTGGATCAGGTCCCCAGTCCTTGGTCTGTATGGTCCGCGGAACCCTCAGACAGACATCCAGCACCTTTCAGCCTTTTGGGCACTACCCCAGATCTGTCCCCAACCGTCTTCTCAAACTGTCCCCGCGGAGAACCCCCGAGCCCGACTTGCGTCCAGTAGTCATCCTTGTACCTAAATTTCCTGTGAAAGCCTTTGGGGAGGGGAGCGCGGCCGACGGGCACTCAGCCGGGGACTGCAGACTGCGACTGCAGCGGAGACCACGGTGCAGCCAATTCCAGCCCGGGTCTTCGCGCCTTTGGCTCTTGGTTCCCAAGTTGGTCTCTACCCAGAGCTGGCTTTGGTTCTCCCTCTTTCCAGTTTTACCTGGGGAAAATCTTTGGCTTGGCAATTTGCCGGTTCCTTCGTACTGCCCTCATCTGCCGCGAAGGGCACAGTGATCCCGTTGCCCAAGGCCAACTGTGAACCGCCAGGCCAGCCCTTGCAGACACAGGGGACTGCTCTAGGAGGCAAGGACTCTACAATATTCATCTTTGTTTCCCCAGTCTCCAGCACAATGCCTGGCACATCGTAGCACTTATTAAATATCTTATTAGTAGATGAACGAATGAATCCAATGCAGAGGCGGTGGGGCAGAGTACTTTGGTGGGAGGGGTGTTCCTCCAGTTATATGAAGTGGAGAGAGGAAGAACTTTTAGAGGATTACTTCAGTCTTTCTTCAGTTCTTTCATCTAATCATCTAATTTCATTTACATAAGAGCTTCTGTATATCAGTTGTTTTCTGCTTCTGTTTACAAAAAACAAAAACAGGCCGGCCTGGGGCTGCAGAAATTCTTTTTTATTTGTTTATTTGTTCTAATTTGTTATCTATGACAACAGTGCATTTCAAGTCGTACATATAGAGCACAATTTTCATGTCTCTGGTTGTACACAAAATAGAGTCACCATTCGTTCCTTCATACATGTACTTAGGGTAATGATGTCCATCTCATTCCACCAGCTTTCCTACCCCCCTGCCCCCTCCCTTTCCCTCCCTCCCCTTTGCCCTATCTAAAGTTCCTCCATTCCTCCCATGCTCCCCCCACCATCCCCATTAAGGATCAGCGTCCTCATATCAAAGAAAACATTCAGCATCTGTTTTTTGGGGATTGACTTCAGAAATTAGTTCCTTAGAGGCTACCTAGGTAATCTTGAAAGAGCTTTGCCCGTTTTACTGCTCCTCTTCCCATGAGACTAGCTGCTCCCTCTGGGGAAGAATTCTGGAGACCAGCCACAGCCCTTTAAAGCTGGCTTCAGTGGAGCTGGTCAGCTTGTGCTTTGGGACAGTTGGAGAAATGAAGAACCTCAGTTATTTTACCCTTTCTTTAGTTTCTGAATACCCCCTTCTTTTCAGAGACTGCTGGAATAGACATTCCATGCAGACTATAGTGTGAGAGATTGATTTCCCAAATGCTACTAAATTATGATTAAGCCAGGTGGACAATTTATGTCTCTTTGAACCACAGTCAGGCAAGGATTACCGCTGTGTAGGACATTGTTGGTGATAAACAAGAACACAGGCCTTTTAAAGTTGGAATTCTCAAAGAAACATAGAGCCTGAAACCTGTTTTTTTTGATGATCTGAAAAGATTGCATTTCCTGAGGATAAGACAGGTTTCAAGGACCTCAGTTTTGGCCCAGGTCCAGAGGAAAATAGGTGGTATTACTGAGTGGTGAAACATGGCCGGAAGGCTGTAGGGGTTTATAAGGTAGGAAGTAGTTGCCTAAGTAGTCGTAGCATTATTGTACATGGGCTCAAAGTCTTAGCAAATAAATACAGTGGTTGAGTGTGGCTCAGTGGCAGAGTGGTTGCCTGGCTTGGAGGTCTTGGGTTCAATCCCCAGCACCGTGAAAGAAAGGAAGGAAGGAGGGAGCAAAGGAGGAAAGAAAGAAGGAAGATAGAAAGAGATTGGAGTTTCTTAAGAGGCTCAGTAGATCTTAAGTGGTAGTAAGGTTTTGTGGAAGGAAGGCAATTCCAATCAGTATCCCTGGTATCCTGTTACCTGTGTGTCCCTCCTGCTGCTTGGCCTTGGGACTACCATTATTTCCTTCTGCTTTCTTCTTAATTGTATATTGGTGTTTAAGTTCCTTTTTGAAGCCAAACCTGTCTTAAAAACTGGTGGCTGGATGTGTTCTTACCCATTTCTAGCATTGATTTATCCTTTTCCGATTTCTTTCTGTCATCCTGTTATGAAGTAAGTTATATACTGTTACAAAGTAAGTCATAGATCATGGAAACCCTACCTGAGGAGGGGCTCCTGAGCTGGATTAAGCAATATAATTTTTTTTTGGTAACCAGTACTTTTTTTTTTTGTTGTTTTGGTACTGGAGATTGAACTCAGGGGCACTCAACCACTGAGCCACATCCCCAACACTATTTTGTATTTTATTTAGATCAGGGTCTCACTGCATTGCTTAGTATCTTGCTATTGCTGAGGCTGGCTTTGATCCTCCTGTCTCAGCCTCCCAAGCTGTTGGGGTTATAGGCTTTCGCCACCTCACCTGGCTAACCAGTATGTTTTTAATGGACTTTCTACATTTTCCTGTCTAGGCTCCCTGTTAAGGTAAGACATCAATAATCACAGAACACTCTAGATTATTTTATTTTCTCCTCACTTCCAGTACTTCAGATCATTGCCATATAAAATACAGGATGCCTAATTAAATTTGAATTTCAGATAAACAACAGAGAATCCTGTATTTTTACTTGCTAAATCTGGCAACCCTAGTTCATAGAGAGGCTTATGTGTTCTCTCTGGGGCTTGCCTGCAAATATTTAGGACAATAACTCACCCTTTTCCTCCTATTACTCATACACAATGACTGTGCATCCTATTAAAACTCAGTTAAAGAGATAGCTCACTGCATGCTGGGGTAAGGGTAGGCTCTATAAGATGGTCTGATTGTTCAGCATTGAGGTTACCCAGAAAACACCCACTCAAACACTGGCATGTAATATTTTAGCTTCTATCAAATGAGGCTGTGTTTGAGAGCATTTTTTGAGTGGCCAGATGTCAACATTGCTCTGAGAAAGCTGGCGGGTGTTGGGAGTGGGATTCTAACAAATATAACTCATAGCATAAACTCTGTTGTACCAAATTTACTCTTTTTTAAAAAAATTATGGTAAAATATGCATAACATAAAACTTACCGTTAAAGTAACATTATGTATATTCACACTATTGTACAAACATATCACCATCCATTTCTAGCACTTTGTTCAGCTTTCCAAACTGGGACTCTACCAATTAATTGGACACTAACTCCGCACTTTCTCCCATTTCCGTTTCTGGAACCATCACTCTACTTTCTGTCTTTGTGAATTTGACTGCTCTAGGTACCCTCATGTAAGTGGAATCATATGATATTTATCCATTTGGACTGGTTTATTTGACTGCAGGTAATGTCTTTAAGGTTCATTCACATTATAGCTTTTATCAGAATTTCCCTCCGTTTTTAAGGCTAAAAAGTTTCCAATGTATATAATATTCCACTGTGTGTGTGTATTTATACACTACATTCTGTTCACCCATTTTTTGTTCATGGACACTTGGGTTACTTGTGCCTTTTGGCTACTATGAATAATGGTGTCATGATCATGAGTGTGCAAATATGTTCTTCAGCAAACATGAGTTCTTGCTTTCAGGTTTTAATGTAATTACAGAATCATAAGATAATTTTATGCTTAATTTTTTTTTGAAGAACCACCATACTATTTTCCACAGTGACTATATCATTATCTATTCTCACCAGCAGTGTGCATAGTTCTGATTTTTCTATATTCTTGCCAACACTTGTTATTTTCTGATTTAAAAAGAAAAACATCCTAATGGGTATAAAGTAGTTTATTATTGTGGTTTGATTTGCATTTCTATAATTATATATAACTTTGGAGAAATGTCTTTTTAAGTCCTTGCCTCATTTTGAATTGGGTTGTTTTCTGTTGTTGAGATATAAAGTTCTTTATATATTTTGGACAATAATCCATTATCAGATACATGATTTGTGCATTTTCTCTCATTCCATGGATTACCTTTTTACTCTGTTGATAATGTCCTTTTATGCACAAAAGATTTTAATGTTGATGAAGTCCAATTTGTCTGTTATTTTCTTTTGTTGAATGTGCTTTTGAATCATAGGCAATCATTGCCAAATTCAGTGACATCAGCTTCTATCATTGTCTAAGTTTTTTTTAATATAGTTTTAGTTCTTATGTTTAAATCTTTGATTCATTTTGAGTTAATTTTTATATGTGATTCAAGATAAAAGTTCATTGTTTTGCATGTGGATATCCAGTTTTGTCCACCATTTTTTGAAAAGACCATCCTTTCTCCATTGAATGGTCTTCTCACCCTTGTCAAAAATCATTTGACCAAATATATAATTTCTAGGCTGTTTTTCATTGGTCTATATATCTGTCTTTGTGCCAGTGCCATTACTATCTTGATAACTTTAGCTTGGTAGTAAGTTTAGAAATATCATGAAGTACAAGTTCTCCAATTTTGTTTTTCTTTTTCAAGATTGTTGTTTTGGCTATTTAAGATCACCTGAGATTGCATATGATTTTTTTCCCCCCGGTACTAGGGATTAAAACCAAGGTGCTGTACCACTGAGCTACATTTCTAGTGCTTACTCACTTATTTTTTAATATATGTTTTTTTTTTTTTTGGTTGTAGACAAACACAATACCTTTATTTTATTTATTTATTTTTATGTGGTGTGAGGATTGAACTCAGTGCCTCACATGTGCCAGGCAAGTGCTCCACCACTGAGCCACAACCCCAGCCCCTACTTACTTACTTTGTTTATTTATTTTTGTTTTAAGACAGAGTCTCACTGAAATTCTGAGGCTGGCCTTGAACTTATGATATTCCTATTTCAGCCTTACAAATAGCTGGGATTATAAATGTGCATCATTATGCCCAGCTTCCATATGATTTTAAAATGGATTTTTTTTTTAATTTTTGTAAAAAAAAATGTTGGGATTTTTAATAGGGATTGTATTGAAACTAGTTCATTTTGGGTAGCATTGACATCTTTTATATATATATATATTTTTAGATGTTGATGGACCTTTATTTTATTCATTTATTTATATGCTGTGCTGAGAATTGAATCCAGGACCTCTACCACTGAGTCACAACTCCAGCCCCATCATTGACATCTTAACAATATTTTTTTTTAGTTGTTGATAGACCTTTATTTTATTTATTTATATGTGATGCGAAGACTTGAACCCAGTGCCTTACACATGCTAGGCAAGTACATTACCACTGAGACCCAGCCCCAGCCCGACATCTTAACAATATTAAGTTTTCCATTCCATGAAAACCGCACGTCTTTGCTTTTATTTGTGTTCTCTTTAGTTCTTCTAGCAACATTTTGTAGTTTTCAGTGTACA